TTTGATGGGCAACCATTTTGAGCAAGAATCTGAGCCATCACCAAACCAATCCCACAGTCGGTAAACACCCGCACCTGTGGCACAGCACTCGCTGGCCCTCGTTCCATACTACACCTTAAAAAAACAAAAAAAGTTGATCACAAGTAAGCCAGCTAATGTACTACTGTATCGAACTGATGAACAATTAGAAAAAGGAATGCGAGTTACCATCCCAATTGACGTCTTACAAGATACTGTCTTGAACCAGCTTATGCTTGCTGAAGATTGGAAAACACTGTCCTCCATGTCCCAAATGTGCCAATTGTTGGTTCAACCATCGCAAAGATGTCTTTTCGCAACAATTTTTGTTGCAGGGCCCTCAGTTCAACACCTTTTCAAACTTTTCCATGGCAGTCCACACATCGCCCAATATATATACCACCTTCATTATCATCTGCATGACTCAGACTGGGACACACAGACAGGCCTGATGCAATGGTTTTCCTTGTTAAAGAGTTTCGAGCTCACAGGAGGATATCCTGTAAGGAACTGGAACACCATCCCAGAAGAGCTACGGGTTGAATTTATTCGCATCTTTTCCTCACCAAACCTCACAACCCTCACACTCTCTCAATTTCAATTCTTTCCAGTCACCATCTTTGCACACTGTCACAACATCATGCGTCTGAAACTTCACAACCTTCACATAAACTTCACTCCTCGTGCTGGAGTCAAGAGGTTCATCAGAAGACCCATCCCAAAGCCAACCATACTGTATATTGCACAGAATGACGTGTTCATGTTTGCACGTTTATTTAAGGCTAAATGGAGTGACACAAGTCCCATAATGGATTTATCTTCTGTCCGTGTATTGCACCTTCATTATTCAGCGTCGATACCAGGCAGCATCCTACATGATTGGAAACCAAACATTGAAATTCTTGCCATAACCAGTGAGTCACTACATTATATTTAAGGAACAATATTAATTAAATACAGCCATGCGCTGTCTGGAAAGTTTCTGCAACACCACATTGGTGACCAGCGTACGTGTCCTCATATGTGATGACAGAGGCAACTTCAGTGAAGTCAGTAAGAGCTTGGTCAGGTGGCGATCAGCTGGAGGGTGGAAACTCGAAGAACTTTTCCTTGTGATGAAACCAAATGATGGCAAGCATCTTGATTGGCACAATTTGCAAACTATGCTGAATGAAACACATTTCCCACTTCTACATTCGGTAAACATTGTCCAAGTAGGAGGACAGAAAGTTGGCCTCCCTGAACTACCATGGGTAGTTGATTCGACAACTGTTTCGATACGCTTTGTTGATTGTCAAACAACTCCTCAAAATTACTCAACATACTTACCAGCCAACTACCTTTAAAGTGAGCTGTTGTCTACATTATGAGACAGGCTTAACATTCTAACTTGATACAATATATCCAAGAACCAGACTGCAGTATTATTAACTAAGAGTGAGGATGTACATGTCCTCGTTGAAGCTCAAAATATGTCTATGATATGCAACATTAGTATTAAATGAACCTCAGGCAGCCAATCTGAGTAATTTCAAATGTTGTTTTCTATTAGATACAGTCAGCGGTCGGTAGCAATAAAGCAGAAGAAAAAAATAAATGCCCAGATCACGTGAGTTCAACTTCAATATGTACAAACAATTTTACCATGTGCGTGGTAGTTCTGTTTGTATTTGTTTCAAAAAATGTGACATCA